CCCAGAGTTAAATATGAAACTCAGATTGGCAGGTAGTACAGCAGGACCATTACCTACCTTGGTTTTGACACTGTTAATGGCAGTGATGTAGACTGAGATGGAGTTAGCTTTGTGGGCACACTCATATAGCTCTTAAATTAAGTTTGCCATTAACTAAAGTCCTTAATTTTTTTTCACATGATAGATACTAGATCACAAATCTGGAGCTAGAAGAGAACTCAAGGCGCCTTCTAGTTCAACCTTTTTCATTTTACAGTTGATGAAAGTGAAACCCAGGGCAGTTAAATGGAATGTCCAATGTCATGCAGGAAGAAAACGTCACTGGCATGATTTGCTTTAGTAGACCTTTCTCCCTAAACCTGTTACTTGGAGCCACCCTCAGGGCTCCGAATTTTGATGAAACACTTAAACACTTGGAGCTTCAGTCTCCTTATCTGTTAAATGGTTTATTACAATAGCCTTTTGGTTAGCCTTCTTGCTTCAAGTCTCCTCCTACTCTAATCCATCATCCATGCAAGCTGCCAAAATGATTTTCCTAATGCACAAGCCTGATAATTTTACAACCCTCCTCCCCACTCAATAAACTCCAGTGGATCTCCTTTGCCTTTTTTGACACTTCCTACCTTTGCAGTCCTCTCATACTTTATTGCCCTATACAAACTTTACCATCCAGGCACACTGGCCTATTTGCAATTCTTTAACACAACATTTAATTCTGTCTCTCCACCCTTCTCTTGGCTATTATCTCTTTTCACCCCTTTCACCGTGGAATCTCACCTGGATTCCACGAATCCTCCAAGACTTAACTTAAATTCCAACTTCTTCAGGAGGCCTTTTATAACCCTTCCATTACCATTCCTTCTGATATTAACTTCTATCTATTGTGCTTCAGTAGGTATCTTGCACATATCTAATTATCTAAATGTTGTCTCCCTCATTAGAATGTGAAGTCTTTGAGGATGGGTACTGTTTCTACCTTTCTTAGTATCTCCAGAGCTTAGTAGAGTGCCTGGATCATAGTATACACTTAATAAATGCTTTTTGATTAATTAAGCATTAATAACTGTTCTTCAAAGATCGCTAATTTTATCAGTGAAGGTTCACCCTCTACTGATGAATCTTGCAACCTCTTTCCATTTTGGTAGATGTTTCCTATGTAACAACAACAACAAAAAATTTTCACAGTGACTCAAATATTCTTATGACAAGCCTCATTAAATTTAAGTTGGGTATACTGGCAGATGATAGACAAATGGTACTGGTTTTATCAAACCTGCCAGAGCCTGACAACAGCAATATAATATTTGAATTTATTATTGACTTCTTAAATGGACAATATCCTACCAGTCATGTTATTTCATGGGTATCTGACAGATATGACTTTACTACTCTCATACTGATGGACTTTACTCAAGAATTTCTGAAACTTTAGTTACAATATATAGAGTCCATATATTCATAGTCTCCAAATTCAGGTATTTACTTCTTTTATCTCTTCTTCTTTTATGAATTAGATGGAAGAAAATTAAGAAGTCACCTTGTCAAACCTACACTTGAAAAAGAATCCAGTATACTATATCCTCTACAAATGGCAACATAGTATTTGCTTGAATACCTCTATTGAAAGGGAACTCACTTCCTGTTGAGAGAGGTTGTTAGTTACTCTTTTGAATAACTCTAGTTGTTAGGATTTTTTTTCCTTACATGCATCTAGAAGATAACTGCAATTTTCAATCACTGCCTGTCTAGGACCAACCAGAATGAATCTAATTTCTTTTCTGATAGCCTTTCAATAACTATCATCTATCATCTTTGGACTAAGCCATCTATTTTCTAGGCCAAACAATCCCAGTTCCTTTCATGGATCTTTATATAGCATGATCTTCAGGCCTTTGAAACCATCTAAGTCTGCTGTTTCCTAGCTGATTAATCTTCTTCTTAAAATATGTAGTCAAACCAGAGCACAATACTCCAGGAATAGTTAAGTAAAGTTTCAATTAAGATTAACTAAATGGAAGGGAAGTCTGAATCAGTATATAATATCTCTAAAGAATTATTTTAAAATCATCTATTTTTTTTAAATTAACAGTTTTGATGATCAGAAATCATGAGAAGTGTGACATAATAAATATCTAATACTTGCTATTTATACAATATGGAATGCATAAAATTATCTTGCTAAAATGTTATTTTAATCATGGCAATCTCCCCCCTTGAAATTATCTTTGAATCATTAGATTTCTTAGTTACTATATTCTTCAGAAATACTTCCACAAAGGGAGGGGTAATAAAGGAAGTTTTTACTCCAGATGAGTTTTCTAGTCAACTCAATGAAATTGTAGGGAATGGATCAATGTTTAGAGGAAAATGCAGGATATCTCTCACAGAATATGGGTTTGCCCACTGGCACTCTTAATTAATGGCTAAGAATCAATCAAGCTTCCCTGTGACTGACAAAAATAGGCTAGTCATTTTCACTCAGACTTACTTTCCACTTTCATAAATAAACTGTAGCATACTACCAAGTATATTCATTTTAGAGTTAGAGGAAAGAAGCCTGTGCAGTTTCTTTCTCTCTAGTGTAGGTTTCAGAGATTCACTGTAAACTTCACGTGCTTTTCCAGCTAGCCTGAGAGGGCAGTTGCTGCAACTCAAGTTCCTGGATAGATTTCTGCCTTTCTGTTGTCATTTCTTGTAGCAACTGGAACAGGAAGAGGTATCCTGATGATGTCTATGGCAAAACCAGAGCCACTGGGCACAGCCTTTGTTTGATATCTTGTGGGAAGCCTAAGTTCAAAAGTTCCTGAGTTTAAGAGTTTGAGTACCAGATTCTCTAGAGAGAGAAAGTGATTTCTTGGTGTACTGTGCTCCTTTGAGAAAGGAGAAGAGTAACACCATGAGTTATTCTGACAAACCAGGTCTGATGCTTGCTCAGCAGTCTCTAAAGAGTGTTTACTTTCCAAAGGGATTCCAACCCTGAAGATAGTGCTATATATCTTTGGGTCAGTCACTATGTATTTATGGTAAAGAGGGACTCATTGGAATAGCACAGTTTCCCTGATGACAATCCAAAGTTCATTTTCCTTCTGAAGTAGGCTAATGGTCATTTCTATATCTAGTTATATTCTCTCAACTACATGTGAAGGCAATAAGCTATAGAGAACTTAATCCATTAGAGGCATCTCCCAGGATTGGATTCAGTCTATGTTCTGACCAAAGTTGCAGAGGTGATGCCTGAAGATGTAAGAATCTTTAAGGAATGATGGGGATGCTTGTATAATTGTGCCTATAAAACACTTCCGGATTTTCTAAAAGATAAGAAAACCATATTCTAAAAACAATAGGCTAATATGCATTATTCTCCCCCTCATTCAAGAATTGTTTATTAGCTAGATGATTTGGGGGCACCTAAAAAGGGAAATATGATGTTAGAGATCATCTTGAGCTCATTGGGAAAAATTCATACCAAAAAAACCATTTTATTTTTGTTAGCATCAAAACACGGGCAGAAAAATGGTCATAGTGCTAGCATATCACTTCTGAATTTGGCAAGCTGTTTTACAAGGTCCCTCAAGAAATCCGTATGGACAAGATGGTGAAGTACAGTCTGGATAGATGGTACAGTAAAGATCCATTGCAGCTGATTGGTCAACTTTTAGCCAAAGATTCTTAACTACATAATAGATTGATATCAACTAGGAATATAGACATATAAAAATGGAGGTTGTTAACTTGCCAGGGATATTTCAGAGAAGATTATGCATATAGTAGGAGGTTGGACTGGGTGACTTCTAAGGGTCCTTCCAATTCTAAGAGTCTACAATTCTTCTGCTGATTTTACAGAACTCTTAGAAATATACTATGCACTTCTCTCAAGTGATATATTCCAGGGCTTAGCAACTCCTGTTATTAACCAATCTTTCAATAAACAAAAATCTCCATACACCATGTCCTCATTTAAGGTATTACTTATTATGTATTTTTGTCTTTAACTAAGGTAATTAGTTACTAATCACCAGTTTCCATAAAAGTTCATATGTTACTTTCTATAATATTGAGTATCCAAGCTTGTGATGTGCTCTCAATAAAAAAGGAAACTATGGCTGTTGGAACTATATCTGAGTCGGGATGTTATTTCAAGTCTGGTCACTTTTCTGGATGAAGGAGATGAAAGGGGAGGAACAAATGGAAGCATGATAAATGATGGATTTTCAATCAGGTGTCTACCTCTGCTCAAATCTGCAACTCTGAAACCAACTCCCCAGATCTTACAGATTGCTTGCATTATCAATGATGCAATTTTGTCTGATTCCTTTTATATCTTTCTTCACCTTTATGGAAAGTTTACTACAATCCAACCTCCAAATGCTTTAACTACTTTTTAGCAGTGCTGTTTTCTGCTGCTTTCATTGTTTCCTGTTTGCTTTTCTAAACTTCCTCTTCAGCTTTGCAGCACTGAACTAGATACAATGCATTGGTTAGATACGGTGGTGGTGTTGTTCAGTCATTTTTTAGTTGTGTCTAACTTTTTGTGACCCCATTTGGGGTTTTCTTGGCAAAGATACTGGAGTGGTTTGCCATTTCCCTGTCTAGCTTATTTTACAGATAAGGAAACTGAGGCAAACAGGATTAAGTGACTTGCTCAGGGTCACACAGTTAGTAAGTTTCTGTGGCCAGATTTGAACTCAGGAAGATGAGTCTTCCTGACTCCAGGCCCAGCAGTCTATCCACTGCACCACCTAGCTTCCCCTAGATTATGGTAATGATATCTTATACTAGTGAGGGGCAAAAAGATAAAATTCAGCAGCAACAACGTGCATTTAAATGCAGTACCATGTTAGATTAATTTTAATTCTTTAAAAAAATGACTGGTGCTCTTAGTTGGTTACTTTGAATGAAATATGATATGTCATAGACACATCGGGCATGCCCAACACCAAGCACTTTGCAAACCTGTTCTGAAGTGACATATTTTAGGGCAGCATAGCAAGTCTTCTCACCATTTATGAGCTGCTGTCAACGAATGCTCCTCAGCTTCTTGGTCAATTTTTGCTGCCAACATGGAAGGAAAAAAAGAGATGCTGTAAATGCTAAATAAGTGCCATTATCTCAAGGAAAATATGATGCAAGTCCTGTAAAATTATTATATAGTAACATTTAATGGCATAACTAACTATAAACCTAATATTCATTGATTAGTAAACAGCTTCAATTAACTTAAAACATCCTACATGTAAATGTATAATAATATATATATTTAACCACTATATTCTCCTCTAATATTTTAATCATCTATGATTTCATCAGTGCATATACTTTGTCAAGCAAAACAAATCACCACTACAACTTGGTTGAAAGGTTATGAGAGGTTTTGATATAGGTATAAGATTTAATCATCTTATTGTAGCCCTATTTATTCATTAATATAATAGTGCTACAGATAAGACAACAACTTGAGGTTTTTAGATTTAGAAGGGATCTAGGAAGTTGTCTACAATATTCCCAATGAACAGTAATCCAGCCTTTGCTCAAAAGCCTCCAGTCATAGGGAACTGAACTTTGAAAAAGTCCATTCCATTTTTGGGTGGGGGTTGGGGGGGGGAGGGCTGACAGGTCTATTTGTTAGGAATTTATCCATTTTACTAATTAGTGAAACTATAAAATCAGAAAATGTCAAATTTCACTTTTTCTGTAGCAAACAAATCAACAGCATTTCCATTGACTTTGAAAACAACAATTCTGCTTTGATTGTAGTTATTATGTCACAAAGTCAACTAGAGAAAGTGGCATGACCTCAGTAAGTCATCTTTAAAGAAATGTACATCTCAAAAGTTCACAAATTCAGAGATTATAACTCTAGAGGTATACAAAAGAACCTCAAGATCTAATACAAATGAATATTTTAAAAAATTGACATTTCATTGCCATACTGCTAGTTTGAAGAATGTTGAAATTTCATCACCATTTTCAAATTATTTCAGAAGATACGGTTATAAGGATACACAGCATATATTATAAGAATCAAAAGCAAAAGGTGCGATAGCAACAGACAAAGAAACTATCCACCAAAGAGTTTATCCTTCTGTCTGAATATTCCACTTGGAACACAATGATATGTGAGTTCATATTTCAGGGAATGAAGGAATAGAAATGGAAAAATTAATAAAATAATAAAATAAATTTAATAATAACAAAACTAAGTTGGAGATATACAGAGAGAAACATTTTACTTGTGGCTTTCTTAAGTGTCTCCATCACTACTTAAAACACAAAAGTACAGCTTGGACTGGTTAGTGTTTTGCAGCCCCAAGACAGGGGTTTTCAAATGTCTGTACAGTATCTGTAAAGTCATAACTGAGTGTCATACTCCTACTATTTGCCAGAATTGCTAAAATTTGACAGGATCATTTGAGCTGGCGGCAAGGATCTCCACCCCACCCCACCTCGAACCCCCACACACTTTGCACATTACATGGTTTACATAAGTCTACAGGTCAATTGTTTACCATATTAAAAATGGGACAAATGTTCCATGATTTATTCTTTGAAAGAGTTTCAGCATGAACACTCTGCACCATAAAAATTTGCTCTGGGCTGCCTGGCATAAAGAAAGATTTCCATCCAGAAGCAACTCTATAAATACAAAAAGGTTGCTTAAACAAACACACACACACACACATATACACACACAAAATCAAAACAAACCTAAACCATTTTCAGGAAAGCCTTTCAAATGTTATCAAATTTAGTTTACAAAATCAGATTCAGACTTAGATTGGAAAATGATATTTCTTATGATAGTTTTAAAGAAATCATTGCACTGAGCTTCATATCAACAAGTTAAGTTTTTACTTCCTTAGTATATGGTACAAACACTTTTTTCAAATATGTATTCATTGCACGCAAGGGGACAGAACACTAATAACACTGGATTTTCTGAACTGATATCATAAAAGATAACATTTAAATGGTCCTCTAAATTGTGATTAAACAGGCTGAAATGAATATTAGTTTATTTCATTTACAATTTTTAAAGCAGCTATGTAGGAGCTCTATAAAGATTTGTTTTGATATGAGAGCTAAAGAAGCAGCTCTTGCCTCATTCTATGGACAAGTTTGGTGGTCAAAGCACAGTACTCAGTATAAAATCTTTGTGTTGCAAGGTGACAATTGTTACTAAAAAGGAGCAAATATGGACTATCTTACTCAACCTAAATCCATATTCTAATCATTACTCCCAGTACACCGTAGGATTCAATATTGTAAAATATTTTTGCCAATACTTTTACATGGTTTAGAAAGTAGAAGGATTTGTATGTTCAAATGGTAATTAGCTTTAATAAACAGTCAAACTAAAGATCAAAGGAACTACATTATGGTTCATCATTTTAACTCTTAATATGAGTCAACAATTCAATGAACCAAATAGATTTTTTCCTCTTTATATGGGAATCTTACAAGAAAACCTTGGTGAGTTGGATTCCAATTCATGTTATGGGGACATGGCAATGTCATTTACCAGCCAGGATTTTTGTCCATATACACAAGACAGTTGTGTCCACTATACAACTTTCAAACACTGCAAGATCCCTTCAGATAACGTTATTGCTAACTTACCAACAAAAGTGATTTTTTGGGAGGTGAGGTGCGGTTGAGGAGGATATAATTGATTTCAGCCTCAAAGTGACTTTTGATATTTAATATAAATTTACCCAATAATGGTTTAGTTAAATTACTTTAGCGAGTGAAATTGAAGACATGCAAATAAAACACTTATAGATGGTTACACTGTACCTGTGATTCTTCCATTTAATTTTTTTAACATATGTCATAGCTCATATGGTCTAGACCTAAGGCATGGAGGAAACAGGTTTTTGCCTGCAAAACTCCCCAGGGCAACCTGAACTAGATTAAAATGCAATTGGAGAATATTTTAATAAAATAAATAAAAACACCATAAAACATAGATAATGTTAGTTTGTGGTTTCCTAAGTCAATTTGCAGGCCTCAGCAATCTGTTTATATTTGAGTTTGATACCATTGGTCTAGACCACATTCGGTATCTAGTACACATACGTTTTTCTTTTGATTTAATGATACTGATAAGTTTTTAGATATTAGTAAAGCATATTGGTGGTCCCTGTCTACTTTTTCAGATTTCCTGTACTTTATTTTCTTCCACCTACTCTATGATGTAGCTGCACTGACCTATTTGCAATTCCTTGGACACAATACTACATCTACCATCGCTGTGCCTTTCCCCCTGCCTAGAATGCTCTGCCCTCTCACACCTGCCACTTCTTTCCTGTGGCTTCCTTTAAGAAGACTCAGTTCAAATGCAGGAGGCCTTTTGCAGTACTTCCAGCTTCTAGTGCTTTCACCTCTGATATTACCGCTTCACCTACTATATATACACACTTTATACATCCAGTTATTTACGTATTGTCTGCCCCATTACAATGTGAGCTCCTTGAGGACAGGGACTATTTTTATCTTTTTTTTTTTATCACTAGTCCTTAGCACAGTGACTGGCACATTAGCAACTATTTAAGTGTTTTTTGATTGATTGTTGATTGAATAAATAGCATATTGTTATACTTGGGGATAGCATTTAATTAAATTTGTTCCTGTTGATTTCCCTTACCTAAAATAAAATGTTAATTCATAATAATGGTGGAAGAAACAACATTAATTGGTAAAAATCTAAATTATAGGACATATTGAAACTAATAACAATGAGAATATAAAGCATTTCAAACTAGGCTAATAGCATATTTCTAATGGAAGTTTTTGGCAATCTGATTAATGAATATATTAGAACTTTCAAATTACTATATTTATTATTTGTATGTAAATGTTTACCCCTACAATGTTTCAAACATTTCAGGTCAAACATTGTCCTTGAAATATTGTTTAGACTATTTTTTAAATCAAATCTTTTTTCATTTTTATAAGAATAAACTCCATCCCATTCCCTTAATTATTATGAATTTGAAATCAGTAGGGTCTCAATCTATGAATAATCACCATTCCATATCATATTGTTTATTATTGTTTGGTCATGTCTGAATCTACGTGATCCTATGGACATTGTTTATATGTTTTCTTGGCAAAGATATGGAAGCAGTTTGCCATTTCCTTCTCCAGTGTATCCCCATTATATAGTTGAGCAACGGGGGCAAATAGGGGTTAAGTAACCTTTGCGGAATCACATAGCTAGTAAATGTCTAAGGTCAAATTTGAGCTCAGATCTTCCTGATGTCAGTCCTGGTGGTCTATACATTGCACCACCTGGCCATACCATGCCAGTATATAAAATATGATGTTAATTTAAAAAATCATTTCAATATAAATTAATACACAGTATATAAATATCATAGGATGACTTGGGCTTTAACTAAGGACACTAATGTCTTAAAGTAGCACTTCATCCCTCCACTCATATGAATTTGCCTTAATTTAATTATAGTTATAGTTCTTTTAATACATGATTAAAATTATGGGGAAATAAAGAATTCTTTTTATCTCAAGCACATTTCTTATCTATAGACACAAGAAAAAGATATATCCTCAAAATCTAGTCTGTATGATTCTATGGACATGCTTTTTCACATGGGTAAAAAATGGATTTTAGTAAATTAGAAGAGATAAATGGTTAACTTATACAACATCTCTATTATCTTTTAAAGCATATAATCCACAAAATATCTCCAAAGGAAATACAAGTGAAATTTTTAAGAGGTATTTCTATTATGTATACAAACACAACATTTTATATATAATTTCAACATTTAAAAATAAAAATTATTTTCTTTCGTCCACCTTGTAGTGGTTCCAACTCCAGTTGTTGCTTTTTTTCTGTACAAGTATGGTAGAATGATCTGTGGCTTATTAGCTCAAAGTCCATTGATGGTTAGTTCTTAAGGTTTGGCATTTAAATGAAGTCAGTGTCAAAGTTTCAATTCCTTTTGTAGTCCAAGTAGCTTCACTGTATTCTAAGGCCATAAACTACCTAATCCTCATCATAAATGTGAGCCCTTTGTTACATGAGG